TCCAGCAAAAGTATTCTCTAGAACAGGGATGGCGAACCTATGACATGCGTGTCAGAGGTGACACGCGAGCTCATTTTTTTGGTTGATTTTTCTTTGTTAAATGGCTTTTAAATATATAAAATAAATATCAAAAATACAAGTCTTTGTTTTACTATGGTTGCAAATATCAAAAAATTTCTATATGTGACATGGCACCAGAGTTAAGTTAGGGTTTTTCAAAATGCTGACACGCCGAGCTCAAAAGGTTTGCCATCACTGCTCTAGAACATACTTTATAAACTGCTTCTATAAGACAGGCTAAAATACTGAATAACCTCAGAATATACACTGGCATTTTTTAAAGTCAATTTACACAGAGAATCGGTGTGAGAAAAGCGCCCTCTGTTGGATTTAGAAGTCCTGGAGGAAATGTTGCTATTGCCAACTCTGGAGACCTATCTTAGCGGGATATTTCCGTTCTCAAGAGCTCTCTTGATTCTAAGGCCCTCTTCTATCCAGTCCACCCTTCACAATACTCTGCCCTCTGCTCTAGCCCTTTAAATCCACCCCTGACCCTTTCCGCTGGGCCCGATTCTTTCCTACCAATCCTGACATGCCTCTAAGAGCCTCCTGTGGAAAGAGCATCCTGCCCCTTCTTTCTGCATCAAAATGAAACACACACAGGCGTTATCTCAATACATGCAGGATGTCCTCCACCACTTCTCTGACTCCATGGACTGGGATATATGCAATTACTTATCTCCACGTGGCTGCTGGACCTCTCCATTATTACCTCTAACTTACACACGAACATCCTCTCTCACCCACCGCTGCTCCTTACCAACCTCCAATACATTGTGGTTTTCTAAGATAAATATAATTTTGATGAAAATATGTTACCCACGTTAGAGAACGTGCTGAAAACGGCCTCTAAAGCTCATGTATTTGCTTACTTTCTTCTTACTGTATCAAATTGGAAATTTGAAAATTCAATCTAGTTAAGTGTCATGTTCTAGTTCAGCATCACAGCAAAGTTAATTTTAAAAAGCATATTCCAACACGCTTTTCATCAGCTTAATGAAATGCAATACTTATGCTATGAATACAAGTGTTTCTTAAAGTTTCCCCCCTTTCCCTAGATCCATTCCCTGAAGAGCGATTTTCAAAGTGTGGGGGTCTCTAATGCCCTTTCAGTGTGACTGCAGGGTCAAAACTATCTTCATAAAAAAGACATGGTTTGCCTTTTTGCCTTTCATCCTCTCATAGGTACACAGTGAGTTTTATGGAGGCTACCTGATGTATGATGACATCCATTCCATTGCCAGGGCTAATGGAATACGAGCTGGTGTATTCTTGTGTTTTCTAGAGAGCTTTCTATGTGCATTTTCAGAGACTGTTCTCTGTACCTCTGTGCTCTTAACATGCTTTTGTTTTTCTGTTTTACCTGCTATCTTTATCATTCACTTCATCATTTTTGAAATCCCAGCTTTCTCCTTGCATCTTTGCAAAAATACAAGAAGTACAGTTTGTTAACTTGTTTTGAAATCATATTTTAAAATTTTTCTTATTTTTAATTGCTAACATGAGAAATACTGATACATATAATCCACATAAATGAAACCTCTTTGGGTACTTAATAATTTTTAAGAGTAAAATGTGTCCTTGGACTAAAACAAGTTTGAGAACCATTACCTTAGAATATAATGCTATCTCCTGAGGAGACCATATTTCTTTTTTGTTTGTTTGTTTTATCCATTTTATTATTTTTTTCTTTATTGTTTAAAGTATTACATATGTCTCCTTTCCCCCCTTTGACCCCTCCCTGCCACTCCTGCCCCCGAGCATATGCCCTCACACCCCTAGTGTCTGTGTCCATCTGTTATGCTCATATGCATGCAACAAGTCCTTTGGTTGATATCTTAACCCCCGCCCCCCACCTTCCTTCTGAAGTTTGATGGTCTGTTCAATACTTCTCTGTCTCTGGATCTATTTTTGTTCACCAGTTTATGTCGTTCATTATATTCCACAAATGAATGAGAGCATGTTATATTTATCTTTCTCCGACTGGCTTATTTCACTTAGCATAATGCTCTCCATGTCCATCCAGCGACCATATTTCTTAATGTCCTATGGCCAGCAGGCAATAATAAGTGGAAATAATAATAATTAGGGATAATAATGACACTATTTTTTTAGGCCAGGTGCCTGGGTAGGTGCTATATATACAGGGTTTCCCCCAAAAATGTATCCACACTTTAATAGCTGATAGCTCAATTTTGAATGTATTTTAACAATACTGCCTTTATAATTATTCAAAGTGTGTATATGTATATTATGGATATATAAAATCTTCAGATCTTTATAGCTATCTTACAGAGCAAGTATGGTTATCCTTGTCTGAGAGAAATTGTGGTTAGAAAGGTAACTAAGCTGCTATCATAGCTAGTAAGGAACGCACCTTAATCACACCTGTGTCTGATGCAGATTTCCTACCCTTTCCAGAAAATGATAGTTCCTGTGGAGAATGCTGTCTGCATTGCATATCTTTGGAATTTTACACACTCTTTAGGAAATCATTTTCAAATCCACTATTCCCATCAATCCTCGCAATCCCATATGAGCCACTTAACTTCCCTTGGAGATAATCCGGATATGATGTTCTTTCACTGTGTTATGCTGCTTTCGGCATTGTTCTACCTAAAGCACTCAAACTCAGGGTATCATAGCCAGGCACTTGGCTATGGTCGGCTTTTAGCACAGCAGAAGTAAATAAGACTGTTGCTTAGAGCAGGGGGTCTGCAAACATGTTCTATTAAGAGCTGGACAGTAAATATTTTCTATTTTATAGGATAAAAAGCAAATAGTGAATATTCGGTGGGTACTTATATGATGAGAGAAGACACATGTCCTACAACTTTTATTAATGAAATTAAAAATCCTATATAATAAAAGGGTAATATGCAAATTGTTCCCTCCACGGGGAGTTCCTTGGGGAGTTCAACCAGGGGCGGGGCTGCTGGCCAACCGCCTGGACCCCAGCCATGCATGAATTTGAGCACCCAGCCTCTACTGTAATAATAATTCAGTATAATTATTATTAATTTTTTTTGGTAATACATGTCTACTAAGGAGAATAATAAGAATCTTTTTTTCTTGGAATAATGTTTGGCTTAACTGGGGGTTCAGAGTTCGTGTGACCTATCATCAAATTGGTTGCAAGTGTTCATTTGCAAAAACTATTCTTAATTTCATGGCTGTACAGAAACAGCGGGCAGGATGGACTTGGCCTGTGGGCTGTGGTTGGCCAAGTCCTACTTCAGAGTGTGGTTCTCCCAATGTGATCCCTGGATCAGCAGCTCCCACCTCGCCTGGGAACTCGCCAAGAATGAGAATTCTTCAAAAACGTCTGACTCAGAAACTCTGGGGAATGGAGTCCAGCTCGCTATGTTTTTTAGAAGTCCTGCTGATGATTCGGAGCCTGGTGAAATTTGAGAACCACTGCTAAATATCTACACCTATATCCATACCTATTTATATAGCTTCAGATTTACTGACTTACTTTTGGGTGCTCTGATCCTAACTCTGCATGATGAAGCTATAGACACCCCCCTCCCCCCACATACACACTCCTTAACGCCTTCATTTAAGGGAAAATCACATCATATGTCACTTTCATCCACCCTTGAAGGTAACATCCAAAATTGCTACAAGAAATGTAACTCTCCTATTCACAGAAGTCTCAAGAGCTCCAAAGGCATTGAATTGGCAGAACATGTGTTTAAATGTTGCTCATGTTGAACAAGTACACGGCGGTGGGAGTGGCGGGGGCGGGGGGCGGTGTGTGGAGAGTGACACTGAAAAGGTTTTCTCAAGCCTCAGCCGCACTCTCAGGTGTCTTGGCGACCCCGGTCTTGGCTGGGACCCCAGGAGGAAATACCTTCAATCTCCACCCCCACCCCCTTTAGTTAATTGAAACCAGAGATAATGGCTTTCGTGTCACCTTGGTTGCCAAGACAGAAAGAAAACCAACCTGTCCAGACAGGTTGTCAAAATGACACCAGTGACTGAAAAGTACTTTCCCAACAGCCTCTCCGCCCCAGTCACCAGGACCCACTCGGGCAGCAGCACCAGACACAACACCGGCCTCCTCTAAGCTCACGCAGGAGTTTGGAAAAACTAAACCTATGCTTCTCAGCCACTCGCCTCTGCACACCACAATCACACCTTCCCTGATTCCCTTTCCACGCCAAAACCCGGGAGCAGAACTCCCGGATCCCATTCGATCACTACGGATGCCATTACAAGCATGGACAGGTCTAATGAAATCAAACGTTAGTCACCCGGAAGCAGGAGAGGACCCCTGTTGAAGTTCTTAGTCGCAGAAATAACTCCAACCTTCCCAGAGGGAAGCAGAGAGGAAAGGGTTCTGCCAACCCGAGAGGTTTCGCGGGGCCCCAGGGCCACCCAGGGACTCGGTCTTTCCCCGGCTTTCTCTGACTTTCCCTCTTCTCACTCAACAAACTGGTCCTGTGTCCTGGGGCAGTGGAGGGAGGGAACCCGACGTGGGGAGCTCAGCCACCAGCCCTCCTGGCCCGGGGCGCAGCGTCTCTGGCGCCGCGTCCAGCGCGCTCCACCCTCCCGGCCCCGCACCCGCGCCCGCAGCGCTACGCGCTCCCGGCACCCGCGGCCTCAGCGAGGAGCGACTCACAATTAGAGGCAGGAAGCACAAGGTGAAGAGCACGGTCATGAGGGCCAGCAGCAGGAGGTGATCCAGCTCCTCCAGGGGCGGCGGGGACGCCACCCTCTCGCCGGCGCCGGGCTCCACGCGGTCCCGGGTGC